ATAGCACCTTAGTCCACAGATACTCCCATTTACTTCAATGAGACTAAGGTGCTACTGAACCAGTGTAATGGTCAGGGCCGGCTCCAGGCACCAGCTTGCCAAGCAGGTGCTTGGGGCAGCCACTCTGGAGAGGGGCGGCACGTCCGGCTATTCGGCGGCAATTCGGTGGACGGTCCCTCACTCCCGCTCGGAGCGAAGGACCTCCTGCCGAATTGCCACCGCAGATCGCGACTTTTTTTTTTTTTTTTTTTTGTCTGCTTGGGGTGGCAAAAACCCTGGAGCCGGCCCTGGTAATGGTATCAGAAAGTGGCCCTAATTTATTCAGCAAGAGGAACTGAAAGGGACCTCGAGAGGTCATCAAGTCCCACCCCCTGTGCTGAGGCAGGAGCAAGTAAACCTAGACCAGCATCTGACAGGTGTTTGTCCCACCTGTTCTTAACAACCTCCAACAACTGGGATTCCACAACCTCCCTTGGAAGCCTATTCCAGTGCTTAACCACTCTTATAGTTAGAAAGTTTTTACTAATATCTAACTATAAAAGAGTTGGCTGCCCCCATGTGCCCTCTGGTGGCCTTGTGCCTCAGCCCTACCTTGCCCTTTATTCTCCCTTTTCCAGGCCCTTTTACAGAAACTTCACACTTGCTCATCCAATCACCACCCTTATTGGGGCCTGGGTTTATTCAGACAAATAACTCAGAAGTAAAACTCAAAAAGAGTCCCAAAAATCTGTCCTGGGGCATGGCTCTTACCTCAGAGCCTGGAGGACCAAAAGGGTTCCTTCTTAGAGTTCTTTGTTAATGAGTTCTTATGGGGGTTGACCTACCCTGGGGTTGACCTACCCTGGGGTTGACCTTGCAGCAGTTCTGCTCAGAGCTGACTCCCCTGTAAACTTCCCAGAGTCAGCCCTCTCAAACAACTGTCAGCTCTCTTATAAGGAACCAGCTGCTTGAGATTCTCTCCCCACTGCACCAGGTGTCTCTTGTTAGCTCATATAACAAGCCTGCTTTAGACTGTGAATGCAGCTCCCCCACTCTAACCTAAATTCCTTGCTGCAGATTAAGCCCGTTACTTCTTGTCCTACTTTAAATGACATGGAGAACAATTGATCACTGTCCTCTTTATAAGAGCCCTTAACATATTTGAAGACTGTTATCAGGGTCCCTCCCCAGTCTTCTTTTCTCAAGACTAAACACACCCATTTTTCTTAACCTTTCATCATGGGTCAAGTTTTCTAAACCTTTTATCATTTTTGTTGCTTTCCTCTGGACTCTCTCTCTAATTTATCCACATCTTTCCTAAAGTGTGGTGCCCAGAACTGGACACAGTACTCCAGCTACTCCCCAGGGCTGAGTAGAGCAGGCCGATTACCTCCCACGTCTTACATACTACATTCCTGTTAATACACCCCAGAATGACATTAGCCTTTTTTTTTTGCAGCTGCACCACACTGTTGACTCATATTCAATTTGTGATCCATTCTAACCCTTGGATCCTTTTTAGCAGTTCTACCACATAGCCAGTTATTCCCCATTTTATATCTGTGCATCTGATTTTTCCTTCCTAAGTGAAGTACTTTTCATTTCTCTTTATTGAATTTCATCTTGTTAATTTCCAACCAACTTCCAATTTGTCAAGGTTGTTTGAATTCTAATCCTTTGAATTCTTTCCAGCTTGATGTCATCTGCAAATTTTATAAGCACTCTCTCTACTCCATTATCCAAGTCATTAATGAGACTATTGAATAGTACCAGACCAAGGACTGACCCTTGCAGGACCCCACTAGATATGCTCTCCCAGTCTGTCAATGAACCATTGACAACTACTCTGAGAGTATGGTCTTTCAACAAGCTATGCACACATCTTTCATCTAGACCACATTTCCCTAGCTTACTTATGAGAATGTCATATGGGATTGTGTCAATAGCCTTATTAAAATCAAGTTATATCATATCTACTGCTTCTCCTCATCCACTAAGCCAGTAACCCTGTCAAAGAAGGAAATTAGGTTGGTTCGTCATGATTTGTTCTTGATAAACCCATGCTGGCTATTCCCTATAACCCTATTGTCCTCCAGAGGCTTACAAACTGATTGTTTAATAATTTGTTCCAGTATCTTTGCAGGTATCAAAGTTAGGCTGACTGGTCTACAAATCCTTGGGGTCTTCTTTGTTCTCCTTTTTAAAGATAGATTATATTTGCTCTTTGACACTAGTAAGCCAGTTCAGGATAAAATTAACAGACTAGTTCACCTGAGTGTGATCTTAAAGGCATGTCAAGAGGCATTGCAAGGTAATCAGGCTAATTCACTGTGTGTAAGTAACAAAGGAATGTTAATTGGGCTTCCAAACATAAGAGGTTCACTTAGACTCATAGACTCTAAGGTCAGAAGGGACCATTATGATCATCTAGTCTGACCTCCCGCATGATGCGGGCCACAAAACCTGACCCACCCACACATGGAAGAATTCTCTCCCTTGACTTAGCTGTTGAACTCCCCAAATCATTATTTAAAGACTTCTAGTCGCTCAGAATCCTCCAGCAAGCGACCCCTGCCCCATGCTGCGGAGGAAGGCGAAAAACCTCCAGGGCCTCTGCCAATCTACCCTGGAGGAAAATTCCTTCCTGACCCCAAATATGGTGATCAGCTGAACCCCGAGCATGTGGGCAAGATTCTCTAGCCAGACCTTCTGGAAAAGTTCTCTGTAGTAACTTTTAATATCCCATCATTGACCATTGTTATCGACCTATTGACTAAAATCACTGTATCCCATCAAACCATCCCCTCCATAAACTTATCAAGCTTGATCTTAAAGCCAGAGAGGTCTTTTCGCCCCCACTGTTTCCCTCGGAAGGCTGTTCCAAAACTTCACCCCTCTGATGGTTAGAAACCTTCGTCTAATTTCAAGCCTAAACTTCCCGACGGCCAGTTTATATCCATTCGTTCTAGTGTCCACATTAGTACTGAGCTGAAATAATTCCTCTCCCTCCCTGATATTTATCCCTCTGATATATTTAAAGAGAGCAATCATATCCCACCTCAGCCTTCTTTTGGTTAAGGTAAACAAACCGAGCTCCTCCAGTCTCCTTTCATATGACAGATTTTCCATTCCTCGGATCATCCTAGTGGCCCTTCTCTGTACCCATTCCAGTTTGATTTCATCCTTTTTAAACATGGGAGACCAGAACTGCACACAGTACTCCAAATGAGGTCTCACCAGTGCCTTTTATATCGGAACCAGCACCTCCCTATCCCTACTAAACCTCCCTAGATTGTGAGGTCAATCTAATGAGACAATTCACTTAACAGCAGGATACTAAGGGAGGAAAGATAACTTCTCTGAAATGGACCACTCTCATTACCACTTCAAAAGTTATCTTTCCTCCCTTGGTATCCTGCTGTTAAGTGAATTGTCTCGTTAGACTGACCTCACACTTGGTAAGGCAACTCCCATGCTTACATGTATTTATACCTGCTCCTGTATTTTCCACTCCATGCATCTGATGAAGTGGGTTCTAGCCCACGAAAGCTTATGCTCAAATAAATTTGTTAGTCTCTAAGGTGCCACAAGGACTCCTCTTTAAATTGCATTTGTCTGAATTTACCCACATCCTCTTAAAAGGTACCAATGTAATCAAATTAACTTTTTCATGTTTTGTGTTTGCCTTTACATTATGTATGCAACTCTACTCAATTGTTATTAGATCAAAAAGCACATATTTAGCATTTAGATGTAAAATTACTTGATATAGACTAGGTGGCGATCACATTGTGTTTACAAGAACGAAACCTTAAGGCTGAAGCATTCAATCTTCAAAGCAAGGCCATTAGGAGTTGTCACAGACTCAAGTATCTATTCTTCCTCACACTAGATGCCCAGACTGTCTTTCTAGGAAGACACCTGTCAGCTTGTTCTTTAGTCAGCGAGCTATAAATATAGATTCATGGGACTGATCCAACAGCTCTGATCTTTCTGGATGCTATCAGGGGCTATTCCAGATGCAAGACGGATCTCCCCAAATCTGCTTTGGTAAAACCCTGAGGAACTTATGGAAGGACACTAAGAGACTTATGGAGAATTAGCAGGCATTACACCTCTGCTAACAACTGGTCTCTCAGATTCTGGACCAACTGTAATGTTTCTTATCTGCTTAGACCTTTTAATAACTCTTATTTCTTTTCCCGAATTAATAAATCTTTAGTTTTCTAAGGATTGGCTTCCAGTGCTGTTTTTGGTGAGATCTTGAAGTATCCAGTGAACCTGGGGTGAGTGACTGTTTTTTGGGGACTGGAAAAGCCTAATGTTTGGTGGCTTTGGTTTTAATAACCTTACATCATAAAGTTCAGCTTCTCTGGGCTGGAATGCTAAGGGGGCTGTATGTGACTCCTTGGTAAAACTAATATAGTGATGCAGGGGTACACTTTTGTTACTGGCTTGGAAAAATCTAACTGTAGAATATACCACCAGTTTGGGTGTGTCTGCCCTGTTTTCTGACAGCGTGTTCTGAGTTTGGCATTCTTAGCTGTGACCCACTCTATGAACCGTGACACTCTTCTCCAGTGGTCTGGAACCATGCCTATCCCCCATCAGTTCTCGAAGTCTATTATTATCAGGGAGGAGCAGCTTTCGTAAGACAATGCTTAAAGGGTGCCCTTCAGTTTACTGGCTTGATTTGCATATTGTGTTTGCTAGATCTGCAAATCTGCAAACCCTTGTGAACTCTCCTCTCCTACCCCCAACCCCATACACACTTCAAGCACTGCTGGGTCCCTTTCTCCTCTCTTCCCCTTGTTTCTGATCATTTCAGGCCATGCATATACCCCATTCTCTCAACTGAACTTTTTTGAGAGATCTGGAAATTAGAAAACACCTAGGCAGAAAGCTAAGAACAGGGGAAATGGATGGTGGGGAATAGGATCATGGACAAGTAAATCAGTCATTAGCATTACAGTCTGGTATAATTATGTGGAAGTCTTTATGATTTTAAGATAAGCTCTTACCTGCACAAGTTGCTGCTTCAATTTCTGCATTTCTGATATGTTGAGCTCACTGAAGAGATCAGAGACTGGGTGCAGAGATTCTCCTTTCCTAACTGCAGGAGTCCGGTAATCTCCATTCAGTTTCACAAGAGGCCCATGGATGTGCCCATTCATTTTGTCATCATTATTAGGTTCGCTCCCATCCTCTGCAAACTTTAATCCATCTACCGATATATTAATGTGATTACTGTACATACTATCATTGAGGTTGATATACTGGGAGAGTTCCTTCCTCAGATTGTTTTTTTGCTCCCTTTCATTTTTTAAAGTCTCCAGGGCTTCCTCCAGCTGATGTTCGGCGATCTCCTTCAATCGGATGGCATCTTCTAGCTGGCTATTAAGCAATACTGTCTCCTCCTCAAATCGTTTAATCTCATGCTTTAAACCTTCATATTCAACCTGAATTAGACAAGACAAAGAACATTCATAACACTAAAACTTGGGTCTTAAAAACCTGCCATATATTAGCCTGATTGAACTAGGCACTAAATAGCCAAAAATTACTTAGACCAGGCATTGCCAGTAGCTGCAAAGAGCGTCATGCTCAGAAAATTCATGAGGAAAGGTGTACTGCATGTACCCCATTTTATTACTTTTCGGTTTTATATTGTACTGCAGACATTTTCAAGGGGTGAGAATCAGAATCTGTGGGTGATTTATTAGGACACATACTGTATTTCAGAGGTTCTCAACTTTTTTCCTTCCGAGTCCCCCATCCCAAACATGCTATAAAAACTCCATGGCCCACCTATGCCACAATAACTGGTTTTCTGCATAAAAAAGCCAGGGCTAGCATTAGGGGGTAGCAAGCAAGGCAATTGTCTGGGGCCCCATGCCACAGGGGCCCCACAAAGCTACATTGTTCCGGCTTCAGCTTCAGCGAGTCTCAGGGACCTGGGCTTCAGCCCCATGCGGTGGGGCTTTGGCTTTCTGCCCTGGGTACCAGCATGTCTAATGCTGGCCCTGCTTGGAGGCCCCCCTGCTCAAGGCCACCTGCTCGAGGTCACCTAGGGGGCCCTGGATCCCTGGTTGAGAACCACCACTGTATTTCATGCAAGAACAGTCACTGACCTGAAGCTACACTAGGAAGTACAGCTTTATTATTAGTTATCATAAGTAACGTTTGTCTATTACGGCATTGTGTATAGATAGAGGTTAATTATACCGTTTGACTTATCACTCATAGTTATTTCTAAGGCATCTATCACCATGGCATCTAACTTCTTATCCGATGTAATCACTGCATGTCTAGTTTTTTATATTGTAGGGACATATAGGTTTGTTTTATGAAAATTATTCAATAAGGTTTTATTTTAAAAATGAAAGCACAGACTAATAACCCAACCTGTTTACAACTGCCAGATGTCCTCAAGTGGCAGCAATTTTAAAATAGAGGTTAACTTTTGACAATCCAAAAAATATAATAGTAGCAGTGTTCAAGCAGGGAATACAGAATCCATTTTAGGGCACTGACAGCTGGTCTTCTGGTCCTGTAGCAGGCCTGACTGAAATTCTTCCCCTGCTGAGTTGGTGTTGGCCACTCCAGTTTTCACTGACTGATAAATCTCTCACCTCATCACAGAGCAGCCACCCAGCTCCACAGGCAGGGAGCTGGTTTTTTCTCAATACATGTGATAATGTGGCTGAAGAAAATGGCAGCTTCTTCTCCTAAGTAACTACCATGTTTTTAGAAAGGAAGAGAGTTCCCCATCCCATCACAACTATAGCCACTCACTGTAGTGGAGAAAATGGAGAAGCTATCTGCTATGCCAGACATGGACAAAAATGCAGGTGAGAAAATGAGGACTACCTGGTTCTAGGCAGTTTACTTCCAATGCTGAACAATTCACTTAGAAAATGAACCTGTTTGACACAAACTCAAAGTTTCACATCAACAGAGCCAAAGAAAGAAGCTAGTGGAAGTGTTGGTTCAAATACATTTGATACCAGTTTGTTAAGGATCCAATCCTTCTCCCACTGAAATCAATGGTAAAACTCCTATTGACATCAAAGGGAGTAGGCTTGGGTTCTAAATCACATTGCTGTCACAATGACCAGCCATTAAGATGGAAGAAGATCTGCGTTCCTTGGCTCTCATTAGCATTCCAGCTGCTCTGATCCTCACCTCCACTATTATCCAAAAGAATTAGGAACTGCCATTACCAGTATACTGGATTAGTTCCATTGTAGTTTGTTGGCAAGGAAGATTTGGCTCATGAGTCTGCCTATGCAGAGCAGCTTGCGTGACTGGGACCTGTAATAATTCCTTCTTTCACCTTGTCTTGTCTTGATGGAATCACTAGCTCCAAGAAAGACAATTCTACACTGGGAGAGCCCTGGCTGCTGAATTGGAATGGGAAGGGTTCTTATGCTAGAATAAGCATCTGACCAGTCAAGACACAGGAATGTGTTGGACAAGAATCATTATGTAAGTGACCGAGCAATTCTGGCATTCTGATTCTTCCCTCAGTGATAAGCAAAGTGACACAAAAATAAAGGATGTTTAATGAAAACAAAATACCTTTATACCTGGTACTTTTCCCCCTCAGAATAAAAATTATTAGAAGTAACTCTCAAACTTTATGGACAATAAAGACATATTTATTTCACCCTTGTGTCATACGAGTGGTTTCAGAGGGAGGTGTGGGAGGATTGGAGAGGGTGAGAGAAAGTTAAAAGTATTTTCTGGTACTACACCTGCCCCGGAATCCCTTGAACAGTTTCTGTGGCTTTACCTAATCATATTTTTAAATTTATAGGAAATAATTTCCCAATTTTCAATTTTTTTCCGGTTCCTTGTTGCTGTATGAAAGACCCACACAAACAAAATGGAAATTTGCTGACCATACACTGCAAACTGACTATACACAAATTCCTGTTAAATCCACAAAATAAACTTTAAAAAAGGAAGAGAAAAATATTTTTTGACTAATTTCTTTTGTGTTCATTATAAAATAGAACCAGACAATTTTTTTCACGCAAACAAAATTTTGATAAAGATTCATTAACATTTCCATTTTCCAATCAGTTCTACTTGTAAAAATGATAGCTTTAAACATACAGTGGTCTGATTTTTAATTTGATGATATTCCTTTAATATTTTTAATTTGTAAAATTCAGATTTTAAAATAAATCAGATTAAGTAGTGCAATAATATCTTTTGGTAGAGGAGGGAGAAATTTGGTTTTCAAGTAAATGTTGAAAAATTCCCAAGTCAAACAATTCAAGTCAAAAATTAAACAATTCAAGTAAAAAAATTCAAGTCAAAAAATTTGGCAGACATTACTAGTTGGCAGGCATTACTAGTTGCATCTTCAGTGGATGGTCGGAATTTTGTTTCATTCGGTGTCTACACAAATATTTAAAAAGCAGAATTTAAATATAATACAAGGAATGGGTCCCTGCATATAGGAAGTTCCTTTTGGGCTTGGATATTCAGTAGACACTTGAGGACTTTTATTTGGGAGCTGGCTGAGAAGGCAGTCTTTAGAATTTGAACCTTCAGATTTCTCAGTGACATGGTATCAACAGCTCAGGGAAGTTAGTGACTGATTGTACTGGGAATTTTTTGAAAATCTGGAGGTTTGGGGTTTATCCCAGATTTTGAGAATTGGATTGGGGGGTCACAAATCTGTGGTGCTGTTGTTTTGTAGGGAAATTAATCCTGAAAACACAGGCCCTATTAATAAAATCCAGTATCTATATTTTCTTGATTATACACATAACATCAGCTGTGTATAGCAGAAATTCTCATGAAAATCAGAGAGATTTGCACTGTCTGTGAACAGTAACTGACTTTTACATTGCCATTTTTCATGGATTCTTCTTCTAAATGCCTAAAAAGATGTGATGATAAAATATCAAGGACTACGTAATACATGATTTTATAAATTAAAGAACATACAAGACTAAGCTCTTATGAAATTTCATCTTGAAGATCAAAACTATTTTCTGAGTTACAAGAACACACAAAAAATATTTGATACAAAAATATTGTGATTTTTTTAAGTCAATCAAAATATGCCAAATATTTTTTCCTCTTTATGGGGCCCTGCTATTCCTTTTCATTAAAAGAGAAGTGTTCTAACAGATACAAACACTTGTGAAAAGATTCTCTTCTGAAACTATGACTGTCCATTCATGGGTCTAGTATTCCCAAGATCTGTGCAGATCATTTCCATGAAGCTAGTGAGAATCATACTTGTGCCTCAAAGGGGGAATACAGTGGCCTGGATAATACCGCTCTGATAAAGACAATCTGCTGGAAATTTAGTTTTAGAAATTTGTAAGTCATGGTGTCTCAATATAAGGAAAGGAAAGTATAGATCTGTTTCTATTATCTCCATGTCCCCTGTTGTGCTACCTTGTTGTTCTAAGTGCTTCAACCACCATGTCAGGATGGGTACAATATTAGTAACAGTTAGATGAAATAGTACTGCAAATCTGACAGGAGCAAGATAGCTTTGTTAACAAACTCCCTCTAGAAACTGTGGCAAACTTGGATACTTGATAAAAGCCCTAATTATCCCATTGAGCATGTGAGGACTTATAAAGCAACTGAATGTTATGGATGCGGGAAGCAATTACGATCTGTTAGAAATGAAGGCATTGCCTTATAAATTGTAAACGAGTGCTGGCATGGAATGTGTTTAAAAGAAGAAAAATATTGCCAGTTTAATCACCTGAATTGTATATTTACTGATTTATCATGACAAGATAGCACTTTTGACAGAGGAACAAATCCCTTTTGTCCAAGACAATAGTTTTCTTCATTACTTCGCCAGCAATAAAATTTTCCACAGAAAAATTTACGTTTTTCAGAGTAACATTTCCAAATGTCATATATGTATAAGTGGGTCTGAGTTGTGCATACATATTAAGTGGAGAGCAATCCTGGATACTGTTTACAGCTGGTTGCAGTGGGGTTTTAATTTGTCATGGAACCTCCGTGTACATTCAGCACTTTACTAAGATTTCCAATGTGTCAGTTTGCCAATACTATATTTTACAATGATTGTTTAACAATAACCAGCAAGATATGCAGAATCTTATACCAGGTTAATTTAAGGTAGGTCAAATTATGCAGTTTTAAGTCAACCAGTGTTGTATATATTTTTTTAGTTTAGCATCTAAAACCTTTTCTGTGCTTACTTGGTTCTGTTTCAGTGTGGACACCAGTTTTTGCAAAGTGATATTTTCTTCTTCAAGCTCTGTGTAATCCTGAAGAAGTCTTGCCTCTCGGAATTTGTATTCTCGAATTTCGTCTTTCATCCGTATTCTCTGCAGCTCTGCCATTTCGTTATTCTGAAGGAGAGGAAAACCCCCCAACATATTACTATTTCATTTCCAGCAGCATGAATGGTAAACATGGCCCCAATGTATAACAAGGGCAACAAACAAGTAATCAAAATGATTTAACACTACACGTCAAAACGGCAGCACCACAATTAATATGTTGTCATACCACAGTTTCTGTTATTTGTTATACAACTGGATGTATACAAATGAGCATATATGATATGGAAACTTGAACAAAATAGTTCCAAGATTAATTTTCTATTGAAATTAAAAAACCCTCCAGTGCTTTATCGTCTCATTACTTTTATTTGCTAGAAGCCTGGTTGAAAGGCTTAGATCAAAACACAATTGCCTACTGTTTTTCACTAAAGGACAACACACTAAACTCATACAGCAGAAAAATGAATAATGGTGTCTGTCTTGCAAAGATAACTATTAACCAAGATGAAGTAATATAAGAACCAACTTCATGTTTTGAAATCATGTACAGGTATTTGTGTGCTGTACTACTATTCAGTGAAACCTGTTGCAAGTGACTACTCAAAGGATGGAAAATTCAGTTGTTCAACAGATGTGGTCTTCTAATAATGCTGGAGTATTTCAGGATAACATGAGGCAGCTTCTTAAGCCCAGAGTTTACCCATTAGGGTGGTCTCTTGTTTCAGGTTCTGCTGTATGTCTAAAGTGGTATATGTATAAGTCATTTCAACAATAACCCTACCAGTTTTCTAGACAACATTCTTATATATGTTTCAAGAACTGCCATCAGAAAGTTATTTGACTGCATCTAATTCTAGGTTTGACTAATTTTTTGCATCTAGAGCTTGGGTTTCCTAAAGTTATTCTTTGTGGGAGATTCAGATGCTGAAGTGACCGTTAATCTCTCTAAATCATCAGATATCAGAGGCCTGATTTTAATGGTACACTTGTGTAACTCCACTGTCTTCTATGGAGTTACTCCTGATTTATAATTAGGCTTGGAATGAGTCGATTTTTTTCGGTAAATGTCAACAAAAGTTGATTTCACCATACACAAACCAATGAGAACTATTTCCATCAATAATAATCAAAATGTACAGATAGGCAAAGTAACAAATATGCTGCTTGACAACTTATTAGAGTTTGATTTAAGGGTAAAATTTTGACATATGATGTTGACAGATTGTATTTTAGCAGTTATAAAGCTTTAACTTTTTAAATCTCAAAGTTTACTCTCATTAACTAATTATTGTGTGACACTCATAACTTCCTGCAACTGTGAAAATTTAAATTGATAAAAATAAAAAAAGTGTAAAAATAAACATCAATATTATCCTTTGAAGTGATAAAAAAATAAAAATCCAATTCTGCCAAACCTATTTATAATGGAGTAGGTGAAAGTGGAATCAGCGACAGATATAGCCTTTCAGAGCAAGACTGCCCACCACTGCTCTGTATGTGAGCCCCTTCAGTCCTGATAGATGGCAATAAGGACCATCAGTCGCATCTTCCCCCCTCCTGCAGGAATGATGAGCACTGCAGTAGCAGTGGTACCTGGGGGGTACGACGGAGTATTCTATAGTAAGAAGAACGGCTAGATTCATAATGATGGCATAGACTCTGTCTCTGCTGTGATGCCAGGAGGAGCAGAGATAGAAAATAATATAATCTATGATTTCTGCAGAGGGAGAGCAATCATAGACATTATGTCTTTCTGAAAAGTTGAACATCTTTGTAAGAAATAGGCACTATAGAAACTGCATTCAGTGACCTGTGAATATCTGGCTCTGTATGCAGTGGCAGATTAGCCACTGGGCCAATGGAGCCTATTCCCAGGGGCCCCAGCCAATTGGGGTGCCCCCGCGCTCCAGCCTGCTCTGCCTGCCCAGGACTCCTGCCGGGGAGCAGGGTCATAAAAACATAAGAATGACCATACTGGGTCAGACCAAAGGTCCATCCAGCCCAATATCCTGTCTTCCGACAGTGACCAATGCCAGGTGTCCCAGAGGGAGTGAACCTAACAGGTAATGATCAAGTGGTCTCTCTCTTGCCATCCATCTCCACCCTCTGACAAACAGAAGCTAGGGACACCATTCCTTACCCATCCTGGCTAACAGCCATTAATGGACTTAACCTCCCTGAATTTATCTAGTTCTCTTTTAAACCCTGTTATAGTCCTAGCCTTCACAACCTCCTCAGGCAAGGAGTTCCACAGGTTGACTGCGTGGTATGAAGAAGAACTTCCTTTTATTTGTTTTAAACCTGCTGCCCATTAATTTTATTTGGTGGCCCCTAGTTCTTATATTATGGGAACACGTAAATAACTTTTCCTTATTCACTTTCTCCACACCACTCATGATTTTATATACCTTTATCATATCCCCCCTTACTCTCCTCTTTTCCAAGCTGAAAAGTCCTAGCCTCTTTAATCTCTCCTTATATGGAACCCGTTCCAAACCCCTATTCATTTTAGTTGCCCTTCTCTGAACCTTTTCTAATGCCAGTATATCTTTTTTGAGATGAGGAGACCACATCTGTACGCAGTATTCAAGATGTGGACGTACAATAGATTTATATAAGGGCAATAAGATATTCTCCATCTTATTCTCTATCCCCTTTTTAATGATTCCTAACATCCTGTTTGCTTTTTTGACTGCCGCTGCACACTGCGTGGACGTCTTCAGAGAACTATCCATGATGACTCCAAGATCTCTTTCCTGATTAG